AAAACCCTGTCGGTTCTGCCACAACTATGTCGTCGCCTGCAGTAAACAAGTCCTACCATAAATCTAGAATCATCGTTGTAACGCCCTATTTCGAATCGCTACCCATTTGGGTGTGGGTGAAGGTATGTGGATGATTCGGGCATTCGTAGTTAGTTTTCGAGCCGAGTGTGTTTTCGTAAATTGTCAGTTTGGGCTTTTATGGAAGTTGGATGTTTGTTTAGGATATTGTAAGGTAGGTATGAGTTGTTTAAAGCATAGGGCTTCTTATTACATTTTTCATGGATATAAGGATGGTCGAAATTGGAGTTGTATCAAATAAGTTATGGCCTTCTGAATGAATTAGGGTTTGAGGGTAGACCTTAGTATGAGGGGCGTACTGGTGCGAAGGGCTCTATGTCGTGCATAACAAGGAGTATGCTTAGCATACTGCGGAGTTGGGAGTAGGGTGTGAGACCTCGTACGTTGGGCGTACGTGGGTTAATATCAAACCCAAATTTCTATTGTTGTACCCAATAAACACTTTATGTTAGCCCATTTCTTTGAATTCTAAGCCAGCCTTCATACCCTAAAAACCGTAGAACGAACCTTTTAGCCTCTTAGTGGTGTTGTTGAGCTCTTAGAAAGTTTTTGGTGCAAATTTTGCCCTTGGGAAGGAAAGAACAGAAGCTTGAAGTTGTTTGGCTTAGTGAATCGGCTTTGGATCCAAAATCATCATCTTGCGGGGAAGCTTCTTGAGGTGTCAAGTTTGCATCTTGGCTTATGTATGATTAGATCTCTTCATGTCTAGTTTATTATGATTTGGTCTTCTTTTTTAGTCTATGGATGAGTTGGGTTGTTTAAGGGTTAATTCTTTCATATCTGAGTTGTTTTGGAATCCTTGAGCATAGAGGTGCAAGCTTTATGTGAAGAATGGTGTCATTCATGAATTAAGTCAACCATTAAGTCCCTTTTTAAGCTTAAGAGATTCATTTAGTCATATATAAACGTAAAGTTGGCAACTTTACGTGATAATCTAACTCAATGAGGTCAGATCTGTATTTGGGAGGCTTTTTCTTAATGGATTAAGTGGAAATCAAGCTTGGGATGGATAGGGTGAGTACGTTGCGCGTACAAGCAGGTACGTACAACATACAAGTCTCCAAGCGAGTAGGTTGCACGTGCGTGCTTATACGCCGCGCGTACTCGGTCAATTGAACTTTGGGTTTGGCTTCGACTTGGGGTTCCTTTTTGGCTTAGTTGTTTGAGGATTTGTGTGGACCAGCTGGGAACATGTGTTTTGGATTAGGAAAAGTTAATGGGCTTTAGGGTAAGGCCCATGTAAGGGTTTGGGGCAAAATTTGAAAATTAGGCCATAAGTGGGGTTTGCATGATTATGGGTTTATGGGCCTTTATGATGAGGCGTTTGGGCCTTAGTCTTGGACGAAACTAGGTGAGGGGTAAAATGGTCTTTTTACCCAATATATGGATTATTGGATTCAGTTTGGAACCTAACTGTTAAATGGGTGTTAATTGTTTGATAGCGCAGGGATTTTAGCGGATCAACAGTTATAGATTTTTATGTGGGTTCAATTGTCGAGGTGAGTCTTATGACTATATCCATGGATCGAAGGTAGTAATGTTGACCCAATACTTGTTATGTGGAATGCTAGTTGTCTCTGTGATACTTGCATGAAAGACCATGGGGATAGCCCATGATACTTGGATATTAAACCATGGGGGGTGCCCATGGCATTCTAGGTAAAGACCATGGAGGGAGCCCATGACACTTGGATATCAGACCATAGAGGGAGCCCATTACATTCCAGGTAAATACCATGGAGGGAACCCATGGCAATTATATGTATTTTAGTAGATATTATGTGGCTACATGTTATGCGGTATTTTGGGGAACTCACTAAGCTTTGTGCTTATGGTTTGTAGTTTCTGTTTCAGGTACTCTGGTTTTTACATAAAAGAGCTCGAGATGATTGCACATCACACACCACATGTTTCCAATTCTGTGAATTACTCTAAATTGAGGATGTTTTGCTAAATATTGGTTACATTGGTTTTAGCGGAAAGATATGTATTAACGATTTATTAATCTATAAATAAAAATTTTCATGTCGAGATTTTTGGGATGTTACAATATCTTCCTCCGTTTCCTTCCCAACTACCATTTACTACCACTACTACCGATATCACATCCTACCAACGCCATCTCTATTTAAGAAAAACCTTGACCACTGAACGCCTCCCATCTATCCCCATCATTGAACCACCACCCATTTCCTAGCATTGCTACAACCGTTTCACTATTTTCCAGATATTCAACACATTTTTTCAAATTCTTCTCTCCAAATACTACCATAAAAAATCCCCAATGCCAACACACCTCCCATCCCCCAACCACATGGGTCGACTCCAATGTTACCAGCTGTAAAATCTCGAATCCCAGCCACCACACCATAAACCCTAATGTCATTGTCAAATATCTACCCTTATTCTTCTATGTCTCCATCTAAAAATTACAGAATCATGCCACCATCAAACCATTGATGCACCTCTCTCTCTCTCTCTCTCTCTCTCTCTCTCTCTCTCTCTCTCTCTCTAGACACTCCTAAAACTCCGTAAACTAAACCACTGCATATATAGTTTTGAAAATGTTGGGTTTTGTCTCTCAAAGCATATGAAGGTTGCTCTTTTAGATCTATTAAAATTTGAAGGAAATAGAGATCGACATATGAAGATAGACCAGTCGTTATAGATTTTTAGCTTGATCTTATAAAGCTAAAACCTTCATAACAAGGTTAGCATCTCTTTGTGTTTTTTATTGCTCAATTTTTGTGCTTGATTTTGCTTCCTTTTTTTTTTTTTTTTTTTTTTTTTTAAGTTTTGCTATGAGGTTATTCATTGTTTATATTTGGTTTCTGGTCTGATAGTAATCAATGGTTTATATTCTTCATTTATGTTTGTTACTACATACTTGTAATGTTCCATTCAACTGTAATAGCTCCAATCAATTATTAATATAGTTTATTTTCTTACAATATTGGATTTCCAAATAGATTTGATGATGTTCAAACGTTAGTTTCTAGAGGTATGTGGAATCTGTATGTTTCTGTGTTATATTTTATTTGCGTTTAGGCTTTGCACTTGAATTAGGGCATTTTAGTAAGATTATATCATAAACATTGCAAGTTAACCTTGTCAGTTTTGTGAAATTCAGGTATTATATTATTCTTAAAGTTATTGAAATGAGTTTAGTTAATTATTATGTATTTTCCCTCTACCCCTGGTAGAGCTTGAAGTTTACTATGAAGTTTCAATAAAAATATATTAAAGTTACTCTTTCACTATTTAAAATCTTCTTATTTTATCATATAATTTTTTTAAAATAATCAACGTTTACCAAATACTCAAGAAATTATTGAGGTTTTGTATGCACTATGAAAAAAGATACAATTCCAAATATACCTTTTATTGATAATAAAAATCACTAAGAATTCTAAATACATCATTTTGGTGCATACTAATGAAGATATTCTTAACGAAGTAAGATGGGGTTTGATCGAGATGGTCTTCTAAAGTCACTTGGTAACTGTATGCAAAATGATGTGATAATTAATAAATAACTTTATTTTTTATTTCATTTTATGGGTTTTTTTTTTGTCAAAACTTTGCTTTAAAACTTTTCCCTATGAAAAATTTCAAGAAAAAATTAGCACCAAACTAAATTTGAAAAAGAAGATTAAATGAAAGTAATATGCTATATTAGACAACAAAATGAAAGTACCTTGTGATTTCTTGCATTTAACCCAATCAGGGGCCAAAAGCAAAAAATAACAATATTCTTTCATTTTGGTGTCTAATTTAATATAACATCTTACTTTTATTTCTTATTCATTATTTTTTATTGATTTTTCTTATTAAACCATTGTACTTAGAAAGCATGATGTTGTGGATAAAACTTATCGTAATCAAAATTCAAAAGTAAAGTATGTTGTTATTTTTTGTAATTTCTCCTAATTATGTTGTTTGATTACTGATTCGGCACCATCAATAAGAAGAACCTTCGTTGAACCAACTAAGTTGCCTAAATCAATAAGAGGCATATGAAGTTGGAAAGTTGGAAAGAAAGAAGTTGAAGTTGTGGTTATGTGATCTGGAAAGTAATGGTTGGAATTAGGTATTCCATTAAGCCAATTTATTCATGTTTATTGTAAAATTTATTAAAAAGAAATAGTTACAAGTAAAATGCTATAGTAAGCAAGTAAATGGAAACTTATGGAAATAGAGTTGGAAAGTATGTTGCTATTATGTTTTAGGAAATGGAAATATGATGCTATTATGGGTTAGGAAATGTATGTATGTTCCTATTATGCTATTTTATGTAATTTGTAAGTTATTATCATAGTTTCTATAGGATTGGGCGGTGTCGTAGTGGATATGCGGAAACTTGAAAATCGAGGATGATTTTGCCCGTGGGTTTAAAATGATGGTAGTTTTGATCCTCAAGGTTTCTAGTGAATTGGTTGCTAATTTTGAAGGTCTATAGAAAAGATAACGTGAGTTGTATCTTTCAGGCATTGTTTAAAGATCTGCAAAATCAAGTATCTTCTTTTGTTATATAAAACAAGTGATATTCAAATTGTGTCTGCAAAAATAGGAAAAAAAATAATGATTTTATCTTTATTTTTTACACTAATATAAAAGTAAAAAAAAAAAATGAATGGAAATGGATTGAAAAAGTTTTTTTATTTCTCCGGTTCTAATCGAACAAATCGAGGATGTACGCCTCCCCATTTCTTTATTTGTTGTACAATCGTATGATTGCATAGGAAGACCAATGTGATGCCATTTATTTCTCTTTTTTTTCTGCGGAATCTTTACGTATTTCTTTAAGACTTATTGAAAAAAAGATGTGAATGTACTTATTAGATATAGAAATTTTTATCATAAATGGTGACAAAAATGTGGTTAATGTTAATATTATGTTTACTTGAGTTTGATGGTTTTGAATATTATTTGGCAAGTTTACTTTACTATTACTTTTAACTCATAACTTTCTTCATCTCAACCAAAATAACGACGTACTCTCACTTTTAACCCATTCAAGCAACATACCTTATAATTTAAAAGCAGAAATAGTAACCAAAAGCAATAACTTACGTTCCCTAAAATATCACATGCTTCTGAATGAAATTAATCGTCATAACAAATTATTCGCACCCGTCGTTTAGCGTGGGTAAACGGTTAGTATATATATATATATACACATACACACATATATATATATGTATATATATATATATATACATATATATATATATATATATATATATATATATATATATATATATATAAAGATAATAAAAATAAAAATAAAAAGGATAGAAACCATTCAAGCCTTAAGATGTTAAGCAACAAAGTATTTAAGATAATAATAATAAAGAGTTTTAAAAGTATGAACATGAATAAGAACAAAGAGAATGAGAAAATGATTGACTAAATGATTCTTCATTGATATTTCAGAATTGAGAAAAAGGGTTAAGGGATTATAAAGTGTTATAGTCCCACTTATACTAAATTTGGACCAATCACAAAAGGAGACACTTGTACTAAAAGTTAACTGTAGATTAACCATTGACATATTTTTATGGTTGACCTTATCGCTTACATGTGTTGTAGTAACTAAAACTATGTAATAACAAAGAAACAATACTCGTCTTCAGACCATCCGATCACTTCTATGGTTCACTCTTTAGTAAATTTCGTACTTTGGACATGCATACATCTCAGAATTCGTATTGCCTTGGATTTTCTAAGGAACATTTTTCGTATATAACAATCTACCCTAAGTGACCAAAGAAATCATCGAGATTTTACATCTTCTCTCCAAAGGGGAACATATATGCATTTTGCAACATATATATTTTAACTTCAATCCTCCGAGTGATTTTTCTGATCATATTTTAAGATAAAATTTTGAAGCACATTGGTGTGAACCATGTGATTTTGCCTAACTCTAAAGAATTCCTTCATGTTTAAATTCTTCTTCTTGTAAACATATTTGAGCTGTAGATCTATAATAGAACCATGATTGATTAGATTAATTACTTCCAACGTTGTGTTGATAGGAGCAAGAAGCTTCTTGGTTCAGGATAATCCAACTAACTGAACATCTAAATGGCCAAATTCAACTATATAATCTTTCAGAAAATTCAGAACAACATTGAATTCTCTAATGCCCATTTCATAGGTTTGCTTGTCCTTCAGACGAACAACAATTACAAAAACATCATTGAAAATCATAAAGCTCTTCATGCAAGAGTGACCCAAGGATAAGAAATAAAACGAGTTTTATTAGGGATTCTAGTGATGTCATATAAGACACGAAACTGATGGATCCCGAGCAACGACCTCTTCCTTCGCAGTCAAGAGAGAATTTGAAGTGCTTGTGTTGTGTCCCGTTGGATTACGATCAACTGTTTGTGGAGAAACAGTGAAAGGGTTCTTTTAATAAGGCGAATGCGGTGGCTTCTTCTTGAACTAAGTCTGAAACTCAACAAAAGTCTGAACGTTTGTGTGAAGTACTTGTTTGACCAGTGTAGCGAAAAAAAAATTATGCATGGGAATCATTTTTAGTGACTAGGATAAATATTAAAATTTCAACAAAACTAGATGTATTGTGAAGAAACGTCTTAGGACTAGAAAATTTCATTAAGATCTCGCAAAATAGAAAGAGATTTGTTGGTACAGACCATGAAAGTGCACATTCGTTAATTCCTTGTTGAAAAATCTAGAACATTTAATTGTTCATCGTCAATTCATAAAATTTTGTTGGATTTTGGGTTTCACTCAATTCGTGGTGATAACAAATTTAAGATGACAAACACAGAAATTATGTAACCGTAAACCTCAGTGGTAATTTCTGAGAGTCTCAAGGGTTACATTGGTGAATGCGAAAGTGATGGAGAAGTGGTAGGAGGTGGCTCCGAAGAAATAGTGTACCTCTACTATGCGAAAGTGACCAAGCAACAAACTCTTAACTCAATGTGAGAAGAGTAAGGTACCTCATGACTTCTATCAATAAACAACCTAATTTGGGAAGAAACAATTAGTGTTATCGATTCATTAAGGCTTCAACATAAACTCTTTGAGGCTTCAGACTACATGCAACAACATGTTTCTAGGGACACTTAACTAGTACATAGATTAAGAATTTTATCCCTACCATATCATTCGTAATTGAGATTACCAAGATATTAATCTTCAATCCTGCTCAATTATCTAATATCTTTTTTATCTTTGGTTATTTGACTAGAACAAATAAAAGAGAAAGTATTTTTGTATTTTTGATATTCTAAAAAATAAATAAAAGTAGAAACAAATAAAATATTTTTTGATATTGTTTTTTCTGAAAAAGAAATAAAAACATAAAAAAAAATAAGAAGTAGCAAACGAAGTATACTAAGGATACGT